TCGGTGGGGCGTGGGGGACGGCCCACAAAGCCTCCCTTCCCATGAGGTCCCCGCCGCTCCCCCAAGCCCGGCTCAAACCTGCTTTCCACAAGGCTCCCGTGCGGCCGCCATCTTTCTTTCCAGAGAGGAGCGGGCGGGCCGGTCAACACCCCTTCCCCTCCGGGCAGGCTTGGTGGTGCGTTTTAACACAAGTCCATTTGCTTTTCTGCTCCAAGCGGCTGGTTCTCTGTGCCAAGTTCTTGTGCCTCCGGGGGCCGTGGCCGTGCCGGAGAGCCGCTCGTGGGGGGCAGCTGGCGACCTCGGTGGGGCGTGGGGGACGGCCCACAAAGCCCCCCTTCCCATGAGGTCCCCGCCGCTCCCCCAAGCCCGGCTCAAACCTGCTTTCCACAAGGCTCCCGTGCGGCCGCCATCTTTCTTTCCAGAGAGCTCTCCTTTTCTTTTTGTGCATTATGATATGCAGTACAGGTGCCAAGAGGTCATGGTGTTTGCAGAACACATTTTAGCAAGATTAGAGTTCCTGATGATCATGTTTGAGTTTTGTTGTTATTCTAATTCAGCCATCAATAATCTGATTTATTATTTTTTAATGTACCTAGAGTTCATATACCTTGGTGTTTATCTATTGCTGATTCCTTTCCATCTTCCTGTCTCTTAAGTTTTATAGTGCACATGGATCACTTAGATTTCATTTTTTTTGTTTGTTTGTTTCTTGTCCATTTTTGTTGCGATTTTGGACCACACCCAGCAGCATCCTGGACTTACTCCAGGCAGGGTGCAGGGGAGACCGTAGGTGGCGCCAGAGATTGAACCCAGGTCAGCCACGTGCAAGACAAACACCCTACCCCCTGTACTATCTCTTTGCCCCCCCTTAGATTTTCTGCCTTTTCTGTTCCGTGCACCGAGATAACGATTTCATCTAATTTCATCTAATGATTTCATCTAAGCACTATGTACCCTTGGCTCCCGCCTCTGCCTTGGGGAAGACCTCTCTGCTGAAGCTGCACACCTGCCTGTCCCGTTGCCTCATGGACATGTCTGGTGTCCCCAACATTGTGTCTCCAACCTTCTGATGGCTTTTCTCAGTGCCCCTTATTGCAGTTAATGCCGGAGACCTTGGTGCCACTCCTGACTTTTTCCCTGGTCTCACAGCCAGCACTTGACTTAGCGCATCCCGTTAGCTGTATTTCCAACATGTCACCTCACGCGACCATTCATCCCCCTTCCCCCTGCTGCCAGCCTGGTTTTCTGAAGTTGCTACCTAACTGATCTCCATTCTGCCTTTGCTCTCCTTTAGTCTGGAATTAGCACACAGCCAGAGAAACTATTAAAACTTTCATTAAGTTCTTGTTCATTTTGTCGTCGTTGTTGAGAACCTTCCAACGACTTCCCATCTGACTCAGACTAGGTGACATAACGTGTGTGCAGCGACCTACGAGATCTGACTCCAGTGTCTTCCCTCTCTCGAGCCTGGTGGTCCCTGTTTACTCTCTTCCAGCCACACGCCTCTGTGTTCCTTGGCCAGGCCTTTCATTACACCAATATTTGCTCTTTGCAGGTTGCTCTTCCTGCTGAAATCAGCAGAGCTAGCTGGCCTTTGTCTTGGTTTTCACTCCCTGAAACCTTCCCCCCGCCAGCCCGTTTAGATCCTGTGTATGTCTCCTGCACTGCGAAACAGCCTTTCGAGGGCGGGGGTTTCCTCTCTTACTACGGCATCCTCAGCACGCGGACCTTTAGTGAGCAAATGGCCCTGACACCCATATTTCTTTCTTTTCTTCTTAAATTTCTCTCCGTTTTCTGCTTTTTTCCCTCCTCATTGTGACTATATGTGTTCCCTATATAGCAGCATATATATAAACACACAAATTCAGTGTAATTGATTGATTCAGTGCTAGAAACAGCAAAGCAGTCATAGAAAACCGACACTTCTATCAAGGACAGTTTATTATTTAAGATAATCTCATCTTTGGAATCCACCAGCCTAGTCCCCAGTCACCTACTCTAGCAGGCTCAGGTGTGGTGACAGACAAGAGTGTGTTTTGCATATGGTGCTAGCCTTGCATTTCCCTTTCTTCTGGCTAGGACTTAGTTTCCTCCCTCCTGCCTCACTGTGGCCGCATGTGTTCCTTGATGAGAGTTCTTCTGTCTTCCTGGTGGGAAACCGCTCGCTGTCTCACCAAAATGCATGAATCATCCTGGGCACTCCACGAGGGCAGAAGCTTTGTCTGTTTTGCAATGACTGCTATAGTGTAGGTTTTCAGGAGTGCTCAGTCTTCAACACAGAGGTAGGAAGCCTTAGCAGTTAACAAAAGACAGCAGTAACTCTTGGGAATGTTGACCTGCTCACAACTATTCTGATTATTTCTGTTCTGACTAGGTGTAACGTTGGTCCCTTTTATGCTGATTGTGCTGCTGCTGGGAAACAATTCATATACAGGCTGCTAGGGGAAAAAGAAATCAGGGAACTTAATATAAATGCTGAAGTATATCTGTTGCCTCCAAAGAAACTAGCGGTTAAGATTCATTTTTATTGAGTAGAAATCATATCCAATCTGAAAAATTTTCAAAAAAAATTTTTTTATTTTAATGAATCATCATGAGATACAGTTACAGACTTAAAATTTTTGTTATTACGTTTTAATCAAGCAATGTTAGTGTACCCATCCCTCCACCAGTGCCCATTCTCCACCACCAATGTTCCCAGTGTCCCTCCTGCCACCCCCACCTCTTCCCATCCCCCGCCTCTGTGACAGACATATTCCCTCTTTCTCTCTCCTTTTGGGTGTTATGGTTTGCAACATAGGCACTAAGCAGACATCATGTTTGGTCTATAGCCTACTTTCAGCATGCACCCACCATCCCAAGTGATCCCTCCAACCATCATTTGCTTAGTGGTCTCTTCTCCATCCCACCTGCCTTTTCCCCCAGCACATGAGATCGACTTGTGAAAAACTTTTTTAAGGTGAAAAGCAGTAACTGTGCTAAAGTTCTTTTTTCAGTTTGAACAGTCATTCTATTTTTAACTACAGCTTTGTGGTTAGTTTTTATAACTACTTACACCTCATGTAAAAGAAATGAAAATAAAGAACTTGACCTGGGCAGGAATGAGAAAAAATCCACCCATTCCTGGAAAAGCTGTTTGAGTTTTGTTTTTTTGTGGGTTGTTTTTGTTCCGGGCCGCACCTGGCAGTCCAGGCTACTCTTGCCTCTGGGTTTAGAGGTCACTCCCGGAGATGCCACGGGGACAGTGTTGGTGCTGGGGATCAAACTGGGGTTGGCCTGGTGCAGAGCAAGTGCCTTCACTCCTATTTTACCTCTTCATCCTGATTCTCTGAGTTTGGTTTCCATCTTCTTGGATTGTGTATCTGAAAGGCAGTCCTAAAAAAGATAATTAAAAAAATAATAATAAAGGTAGTCCTGCTCAAGTTTCTTTCAGAAAGATACAGCCACCCTACCTGCTTTAGGTATTGTTGAATAGTGCAACAAATGCTTCATGTAATTAAACCACATTCACTGAGCAATGATCACATAGCACCAGCCTTGGCATGGAAAATGCTGAGGGTATGGAAATTACTCTTTGGCCATGGCTTTTTTTTAAAAAAAATATGTTTTAATGTTTCCAGTTTTATTTTTTATATCTCAGGACACAAATTGTAGCACTGTAGCACTGTCCTCCCATTGTTCATTGATTTGTTCAAGCAGGCACCAGTAACGTCTCCATTGTGAGACTTGTCACTGTTTTTGGGGAGCTTGCCAAGCTCTGCCGTGCAGGTGGGATATTCTCAGTAGCTTGCTGGGCTCTCTGAGAGGGACGGAGGAATCGAAGCTGGGTCGGCCTCGTGCAAGGCAAACACTCTACCTGCTATGCTATCGCTCCAGCCCTTAGGCCTACAGCACCCAGTATTCCCAGGCGGTCTCCCATCCAAGTACTAACCAGGCTACTTGGATGGGATTAATACTAATCAGAATTCTAAGATGTCTCCTGGTTAATTTCTAATGTGAAGTGAAACTTTTGCCTAGTGAATATATGTTGTGAGGACTATAGTTGTGAGCATCTTTACAGCCTTTTTGAATATCTATAGAATGCTTTTGATGTAATGCTTTTGAAATGACCTGCAGAGTAGTTTTGTCATATTAAATGAGATGATTGGTAACTAGTGTCCAAACTTGGGAAATCATGTTGTACTAGGTTCAGTAAAATAAGAATTTAAACTTGTGGGATGACTATAAGGAATATAGATGTATGTCTTAAGTCAGAAAGATAATGGGTGGAGATATCAGTGGGAAAAAGGAAAGGAATCCTGTTAAAGTGAAGATGGTTTTTAAATGAATGAAAGTTATAGAATGTATGTAATGTGTAGAAAGTTTGAGGTTGTTTTTGAGGTTGTTTTTTAAGGAAAGGAACTGATCAAGCTGTTTTGTTATAAGAAACTTTTTAAATCACAGTCAGAATTGTTCTAGTACCTTTTTGGTGGTATGGCCAATGACCATACCACCATATCATGGCCATACCACCCTGAACGCGCCTGATCTCGTCTCATCTTGGAAACTAAGCAGGGTTGGGCTGGTTAGTACTTGGACAGGACACAAATTACCAACATTATTATTACATGTTCCACATAAAGCAGTATTATTGAGAATGCATTGGGAAATAAATCTTTATTTTCTTTGTTTGATTTTGGGCCACACCAGGTGTTGCTCAGAGCTTACTCCCAGCTCTGTGCTCAGGGGTCACTCCTGGTGCTGCTTGGGGAACTGTATAGTATCAGAGATTGAACTGGGCATGGCGGCATACAAGGCAAGCACTTATGCCCTGTACTAGCTCTCCAGCCCAATCTTTGTTTTTCAAACAAAATCTTAAAGAAAAATTAATGGATTGTTGATATAAATGGATTGTTATGATATGCTAATTCACCATATACAACAAGTGTAAATTTTGTGTGATAAAATATTTCCTAAATTAAAAAAAAGCAAACTCATCTAGACGTTTTCTTCCTTTCAAGGTATCGTAGACGTCGCAAGAAACTGGATCCTCCAAAAGACAGATGAAATTGAAGAATCAGAGAGAAATGTTATTCTCTGTCTCGTTTGCCATTTGAGAAAATATAGTCTGGTATATTCACTATTATGTTATATAGTAAAAAAGTAATAAAGTGTCTTCATATAAGAATGCGTATTTCTTTATAGAAAGTCATTCTGAATTTGACATTCTTATTTAGAGAAAGCTTTGTCATCTTATTTTCCACGTGAGGGCAGTATTAAAGTTTTATTTATTTATTTTTTCTTTTTGAATCACATCCAGCGATGCACAGGGGTTACTCCTGGCTTTGCACTCAGGAATTACTCCTGGCAGTGTTCAGGGGACCATATGGGATGCTGGGAATCGAACCCGGGTTGGCCGAGTGCAAGGCAAACACCCTCCCCGCTGTGCTATCGCTCCAGCCCCCTAAAGTTTGATTTTTGTGAGTCAAATATGATTGTGTTAACATTATCCAAATATTTCTAGTAGTAATTTAATAACCAGGAATACGGTTGATAAAAATGTTCCTTTTTTTAATTCTAAAATTCTTTTTTCTTTTTAAATTTTAATTGGATCACTGTGAGATACAGTTTCAAAGTTGTTCATGATTGAGTTTCAGTCATACAATGTTCCAGTCATACTGTCCTTTTACCAGTGCCCATTTCCTGCCACTAATGTCTCCAGTTTCCACCTCCCCTCCCCTCCACCCCCAGCTTGCCTCTATGGCAGACACTTTCTTCTTCTCTCTGTCTCTTTCTCCTCTCTCTCTCTGTCTCCCTCTCTCTCTCTCTCTGTCTGTCTCTCAGAGATTCTTTAGTTGCCTTTTCTCTTTTCTTTCTTTTTTTTTCTTTGCTTTTTGGGTCACACTTGGTGATGCCCAGGGGTTATTCCTGGATTATGCACTCAGCATTTACTCTTGGCTGTGCTCAGGGGACCATATGGGATCGAACCCGGGTCGGCCGTGTGCAAGGCAAACGCCCTACCCGCTGCACTATCACTCCAGCCCCTTTAGTTGCCTTTTTGAAAGGAACTCATGAAGTTTATCCCCCAGTTAGATTCCTAGCTTCTGTAATATTTCTTTTTTTGGTTTCTAGGAAATTGTTATATTTGAATATAACAATTATTACATCTAATCAAGTTTTACTAGGAGGCCATATACATACGTTGTCTTTAAAATTTGATAATGATTCTTTGAGAATAGTATGATCCCATTTTGCAGATAAGGCTGAGTGACTTGATTCTTCTCTGCCCTACCAAGTGGTGGAGGAAGATCCAAACTGTCAAGCTCAAAAGCATGTCCATCGCAGGTACATAGGAGTTATTTCCTTTCATCCAACAATAGATTATCCCAAAGAAGAAATCGCATAATATCACATAATTTGTTCTGCAGCTCCCCTTGTCTGAAACATTTTCCTGAATTCGGGGCACATGCAACTCTGATTGAAGCATCAGCGCCAAACTAGTGTTATGAGTATGCTAATAGATTATTCTGATGTTGATTGGCTTATGTGTGATGTAGATCGCTGCTGTTTAGCATAAGGTTTCTATTTAGAAGGTGGGGGAAGCTTAAGCAGGTGGAAAGGTGCTTTATTTAGATTTGTGAAATATTTGTGATATAAAATCAGACAACAACTACATAGTTACTATTTTTATTTTGTTTTGATTTTCTTCGCCTCCCAAGGGGTGTCTAGGGGGCCCACGGCCCATTCTCAGTGAGTCTCCGAGAAGTTCTGTGTTAGTGGTTTTGAGGTTTGGGGATGCCGTGCTGCTGGGGAACCACCAGGGCCATTCTGACAGGGCTTGGGGTCTCTCAGGACACACGTGGTCATGCATGGGTGGCCATGTGGTGTTGGGAATCAAATCTAGGTCGGGTGCATGCAGGATTTTGTCCAACCCCTGTATTATCTCCCCTGACCATGAGATTTGTTCTTGTTTTTGTTTGGGGGGGCCACACCCAGCTGTACTCTGAAATGACTCCTAGTAGAGCTTGGGAGACCATATGGGGTCCTGGGGATTGAAACTAGGTCAGCCTCATACAAGGCTACCCACTGTACTATCGCTCCAGCCCCTTCCCCCTGTAATATTTTAAAAACTGATGTGAAAGTGCTTTTACATTCAAAATTTTATTTAATTCAGATCTTGCAACAGAAGCCCTCCCATTGAAGGTTCAGATGCTTAGTAATATGTTAGGAATAGTGAGCAGGGGAAGAAAAAAAAAAGTTCACCCCGGTTACCTAAAGGAAATATTTTAAGTGGTTTACTTTGTCATTAATATATTACTAATTTTTTGAAAGTTCAAAGTAAAAGTAAGAAGTATTTACCAGCCATGTCGATGACGTCTTTGAAAAAATCTTTTATTTTCAGGCTCACATAGCTCATCACCACTGTCGTTTTCCCTATGTTGTTTCCATTTCGGAATAGTAACCTGCTACCCACCAACACTAATGTTCTATAAAAGGTTCACTTGAAGTTTTTTGCGTAAATTAAAAAAATATGTAAGGTGGGATGGTGCTAAATAAATATAAATAAGTATTGCTTCAAGAAAAGCTCACTTCAGAGGTATGGTGCTGCCAACAGGTCAATCTGTACCTGTGAGACGAGTGCATCAGCAGCTTGATGGCGCCTTCAGACTTCCAGATACCCCAAAATTGCTGCTGTGCCTTTGGCCAGACCCCAAAACTTTGGGGCAGTTTACCAAGAAAGTAAATGGCCAAAAGTTAGGTTGTGGGAGAGACCCACAAACCAACTTCGGCTCAGCTATATAATTGGAGGCATGGCCTCTCTGGTTCCTGATCCGACTGCTTAATGGCCATGATCCCAGAGACTCAGAAACAAATCTCGAAACCCAGTGGCTTTTGGCAGAACTGCGTCCGGTTCCTGCAGTAGGTTACCGGTGCTGGGAATAGGTTTTGTGCCTTGGCCTGTTCCCCCTGGAGGCCCGGTGGCCGCCATCCTCCAGAGGCCACTGGACAGTCAGGTTTGGGCCCGCAGTGATGAGACATGCAGGGCCTCATGGGATGGGGGTGGAGCCGGCCCTTTCTTCCCCGTCCCAACGAGACTCCAGATCGCTGCCCATGAAAGGCCTTTCTGGCTCCTGATCAAGCTGCTTAATGGCCAGGATCCAAGAGACTCAAACAAATCTCGGAACCCAGCAGGTTTTGGCAGAAATCCCTCCAGATTTAATTGTAAAAATTTTGGAATTTCAAAATCGCATGGCCACTGCTGCAGCCACGTGACATCATGTGTTATTCATAAGCAGCAATAGAAAACAAATTGTCTACTGTTGCCTTTTCAGCAGATATGAGTGCTGGGGTAAAATCCCAAATAATAATGGTGGATCTGGTGTCAAAATATTGAATGTAATCAAAGGAGAGAGAGAGAGAGAGAGAGAGTAATGTGGAAATCATCTGCCCCACAGGTAGGGGGAGGGTGTGGGATGGGGGGATACTGAGGTTTTGGGGGGTGGAGAATGGGCACTGGTGAAGGTATGGGTGTTTCATTGTACGATCAAGACTTAAACCCGAAAGCTTTGTAACAGCTCTCACGGTGATTGAATAAATAAAATTATAAAAAATTGGAAAAAAAGGTAAGGTGGAGTTCATGCCCAATTCAGTCAGCTAATTAGTGGCTGAATAAATAGCAGTACTCCTACATTAGAAAAGAAAAGAAAAGAAAAAAGAAAAGCTCACTTTGTTCATTGATAAAAAAAATATCTTTAGTGTAACCACTAGAGGGCACTCTCACATAGGGTTCAACTCAAAACATTTCTCGCCCCAAATACTGACTTTGTTTTTGTGATTTGTTGGGTGGTATGTTAATTGGAAGCCATACCTGTTTCTGCTCAGAACTTTTCCTAGCTATGTCTCAGGGATCACTCCCAGTGGAGTTCAGGGGACCATATGGGATGCTGATCATTGAACCCAGATCAACTGCATTCAAGACAAGCACCTTACCTTGTTACTTTCTCTGACCCCATTTTAGACAGTAAATTTAGATCAGGTTGTCTATTTTGATTGTTAAGTTTTAAGAGTTCTTTGGATATGTCGGATGTCAATATTTCCTTTTCAAATATTTTCTCCCTGTTTGTGGCTCGTCCTGTCATTTCATAGAGCAGGACATGTTCATTTTAATGGAAAACAGCTTACCACATTGTCCCATGATTTACTTTCAGTGGGGGTGATGAGAGGCGCTCTGAGTTTCTCATTATCCAGCAATCCAGGCCTGACTTGTTTACATGGAGTTAGGGCGGCAAGTGGTCAAGTCTTGGGCTATAGTCTCAGAACTGGCATATTCTCACTTCCATGAAGCCACTGAGGTTTGGGGTAAGGAGTCAACTCTGGTATTGCAGAAGAAGCAGATACACTATTACTTTGCCACATTAAGACATCACAAAGCTTAACCAAAGGGCTGGGGCGATAATACAGTGGACAGGATGCTTTCCTTGCACACAGCCAACCCAGGTTCATTCCTCAGCACTGCATATGATCCCCAAGCTCCCCAGGAGTGATCCCCAAGTGCAGAGCCAGGAATAAGCCCTGAGCACTGCCAGCTGTGGCCCCAAAGTAAAACAAACTTAATCGATTGAGTTTGGGGTTTTTATTGTCATATCTCTGTGAGACAGAGCTCAATAAACTTGATGTGGTTTACTCAGAAATTGGTTAGTTCAAAGGAAATGCAAAACTTTTATTTATAAACTTGTTTTGCTTAAATGGTCCCTCGTTGGTATGCACAGTAATAGCTAATCTTGTCAATTTAATCCCTTTTCCATACATATTAATCAGTTAAGGGTAGGCTGGGGATGAGGGAGAGCTAAACATTGAGTCAGGCAGGTAGTACAGTGGTTAAAGTGCTGGTCTTGCTCAAGGTTGATGCCTTGTTCTGTTTCATTGCTGACCAACATAACTGTAACTAGGAAAATGAACAGTTACCCCGCCAGCAAGTGCTGTTTTGGGATTCATGTAGGATTACAACAGGATGCAAGCTTTCTGAGAGTAGTTACCCAGCCTAACTCCTCCCAGAATGGAAGCCAACATAATGCTTTTTTGAGAAAGTCTTGGTATGAGAAGCTTACCAATGGAACTAAAGCTCGGTGATCTAGTGAAGATTTTAAATGATGTACAGATGAATGCAGTAACCTGGAGGTTATTCTT